TTTCGCGTTTTGCCGTTGTGCTGAAATTCCGAAAATGACTTATGTGTATAATTTTGCAATCTTCACCATGGTCAACTGGCTTGCACTCATCGTACTGGTGCTGGCCATGACCAAATATCCAGTGAACACCCCAGAGGCCAAAGTTCTAGCAGCAGTGAACCTCTTGCTGAGGTGCTTCTGGATGATTTTGGAAGTTCGCGTATTTCCCGTGGTGGGGCCTCTCATCATTGCTGTTCTGCAATCCTTTGCCCCAATGATCGGCATGTTTGCCTTCATGGGAATGATGTTTTTCACTTTTGCCTTGACCTTTCTGATCATGAAGGACGATGAGCGAAGCATCCCCTATGTTTTGCTGAATCTGTACCAGGCATTGCTTCTGACTGATGGTAATGGGGCACAAGCCATATCGGGCATGGACATCGGACATGAGCAGTCCTTAGACATTGGGGTTGAGATGTACACTGGAGGTGGCAATCAGTGGTTGTTGCAAGCCACAACGATTTGCATGCTCTTTGCGACCTCAAGCTTTTCCTTGGTTTTATTGAATTTGACGATTGGCATGTACACAAAGTTCTATGAGGAGAAGGAGCAACTAGCAAAGCTTGCCTTTCAGCAATGCCGTGCCAGGGCATCTGTGATTCTGATGCTGAGACCGACATTGCCTAGCTCACTTTTAGCATTCATGGGCAGAGCTGGATTTTCTCCCTCAAAAGCGAGATGGGCTTGTGGACTTGCTGCGCTTCCTTTCTTCATTCTAAGCCTGGTTTTAGTCTTCTGGCATTCTAATCCAATCCCAGAAGCTACTTTCTTCAGCATATCACTTGCGGGCTTCTTCCTTTCTGTGGCCTTACTGGTTTTGCAAGCGTCCTTGCTGATCGACATCAGTGACTTGGACCACCGCCACCGATATTTGTGGGTGAGTTATCGATCAGACTATAGTGACCATTTCGAAATGAACCAAGATCTGGAACTGTCGGCTTTGAAGTCGGAGCTTTGTGGAGAGGTGAGCCGCCAGCGCGACGAGATCGCTCGCCTCAGCAAGGAGCTTCGAAACATCGAGGTGCACTTGAAGAAAGCCAATGAGATGCTCCGTCTAACCATCGGCACCGAGAGTCGTTGTTCGCCTCAGTGAGAGGTGTGAAAAACTGTGGAGACTCGGACATTCCCGACAAAGAGCGAGAACAACGGCACCTGAGACAAAGAGCTCCAGACAGAAAAGACAAAACCACGAAGTGAGCTCATAGTGTTTGAACACTTGCTTTCAGGTCTTCAACAAGAAGATGATTCACCTGATGCGCGAGCAGTGGAAGTCTTTGGGTACAACGGAGAGCGCCAAATCTGTCGCGGTGGGATGCCCACAATTCATGCGCGGAAGACAGGACACAGCAACTGGAATGCCGGTCCCCTTTTTGAGTGCCGATAGGGCCTCACATCATTGATATGATTGAATAACATAGAATATACAACTACTATTATATATATATATATTCTATGAGTGCAGGAGTGGCCTGACCACTGTTCCCAGGACATTGTGCCACTCGGCTCAGATTTGCTGGTTGCATAATGTTGACCTATGATTTTATCAATTCCCCCTGAGTAAAGCTAAGCAAATCCCAAAACACAATTATAGATACATCCTAAACAAAGCTAATTTTTTTTACCGCTGGACCTAGATTTCCTCAATCTGGCCTTTAACAAAATTGTCTTGAAGAAGACTCCTGTCCTTTAGCTTCGTTTATGTAGTGTCAGTGCATTTCAATTCTTTATTAACTGGTTCCTTCTTTGGGTTCCTCTCTTTGCTTTCCTTCCCTCTTGATTTCATTGAACTCACCGAACCCCAAAACCTTCGGATCAAGTCAAAATTCTTCATAAATGTCTTATTCAAAACCCACCAACAATTGATCAAAATCAGTCTGGAAAGGGTACCCCCCACAACAAGCCACAATACTCTAAATAAAGTGTACCCTAAATAAAACCAAATATTCTTGCGGGCAGACATATTATCCATAATACTGATACTCATTGCCCTTTTGTCTCAATTCCTGCACTTTCCTCAATTTTTCTTTCTAGGTCCCTTACTAATCTAGTTTCACTCCATGTAGTTCGCAAAAAGCAAGGCCAATACTACCAATACTAAAACAGTATTTGAAAAGTCTCTTTGAGGTCACTTCAGGGGGGACTCCCCCATTCAGAGGTGGACATTACGTGTGAAATACAGAGTAGTTTTGTTCTCCCCAAGCTCAGTGGATATCTTCTCTTCCACGACGTTGGCTTCCTTCATGGGTGGCCGACGTCTCCGCCACCTCAATGGGTGGCTCACGTGAGCCGCTCTCGTACTCAGCACGTGCTCAGCGATCGGCAAGCATCAGGTATCCCAATCTGGTGAGTGGCGTGATGCGGGGCGGTGTTGTGGCCTATGGACGCGCGGGCTGTGGCCAAGCGGATGCAACCACTCGGAATCTGAGATTGACTAAAGTGACGAAAGACGAACGAGTGATCCACAGTTTCATCATTTTCATTTCCTGTGAATTTTCAGGGTCATCCTTCAATCATCTTCAATCTATTTGTGGTCACCCACCCTTTGTGATTTGGATCCGATGGAGGCGGAGAATGCTGAAAAGCGCCTATGAATCTCTGGTAGCGGAACGAAGCTTCCGTAGACAGACCGTGTTTCTGTTGAGTCCCTTGTCTCCCAGGAACAACATACCGTTTCAGCTGGGCTGCTGGGAGATGCAACACAATCCCTATGGCATGTCTGAGGAAGGCGTGTCAGAACTGTCAGAACCGAGGCAAACGCGGCGTGCTCGCTTGAACATGGTTTTCTTCAGGTGAAATCGAAGCGATCACTGAGTTTGCTCACATTCAGAAGCTCAAGGAGCAGTTCGGTCGATGAGATTCACTGAAGAACCCACCGGGGGTATTGCCAGTATTGACTCTCAGGGGTATTGCCCGCTCCCCTCCTTCCCTACTTGACTCTCAGGGGCCCATTGCCTTGGTTTCGGTGTCAGGATCTCAATGACGCGGTGAAGCGCTACGCTTCAACAGACCAGGCGCTTGGTCTGATCACGAAGCCTTTCTGAGTCTCTAGTCACCATACCTCTCAGATCCCCCCAAAACTGGTACCACTCTCAAGTGGCATACTGACACAGAAGATCCCTCAAGGTGAGCGATTCTGTTTTGTGCCAGCAGAACTTGACGAAAAGGACCTATTTGTGCAAGTTCAGAAAAGGACTCTGGTTTGTGCTTGACACCTGGCTTGGTCTCTCCTAGTTGTGCATCCAAGGCCGAAAATCACAAGCTTTGGTACTCAGCCAAGAATGTGCCGGCTTCCTGCTTTGCAAGTGGATGATGATAACTCTTTGCTATTCTTTGCTCAGATACCAATTCACATTTTTTCTTTTGGTATTGGACCGTTAAACAAGCGTAGGGCCTGAACATGTCAGACCAAACCATGGACTCATCCAGATTTGATCATAGCCGAGGTGATCCATCACATCGTTAGTGCTGAAGTGCATCGGATAGCTCGTGAGCTGCTGGATCCGGAGCCTGAAAAAGTCTTCAGTTGGACGTTCGACACCGCATTGTTTCGCCTGTGATGCATCAAAATCACTGAGCAATTCAACATTTACAGAGCTCTTTTGTGGAGGGTCTCTCTTCAAGATGGAGCACATTTTTGTGTTGGCCAGACACCGCGTGCCGGGAAAGCTGCAGGGAAATCTGTGTTTACCTGTGCTTTGTCGGCGCAATTCTGCGCAAGTATGAGGTCAGACGTCAGTTGCCGTGTCACTTGGCTCAAAAATGCACCAATGACAGGCCTTGTGCCTTTAAAGATGACGGACATTGTTCGAATGGGGCACGAAAACCTCCAATGAGCATCGAAGTTCGTTTGACCGAAAACAATCCAGTGAAAGCAAGGTTTGGAGGTTTCAAACATTTGGACAACTGTTATATGATTGCCTCTAGGGAAGCCTTCCCTTTGTGTACTCTCGGAGCCTGATGGTGGGATCAGTTCCTGCGCCCAGCTTGGCACTGGTGAGTGCCATCAGCGCCAGTGCTTTAAGCGCGGTGCTTTTGATTGCACTGAGACGAAAGAAAGCGTTCAACGCGCTTCCAGCCTATGAGTTGCCTGAATGGCTCAAGTGGCTGGAAGAAAGCTCATCGCACTTGAGGGTCCGGATGCGAGAATGGGAGGATGGTCACTGGCGAAAAAGTAGTGGTTGGCATGGCTCAGACCTGATTCACAGCGAAAACAGTGCTGTTTACATTCCTTGCTATTTCTACAGTCCTCTGGAGAAAAAACTGCAAGGTCCTGTGGTCTTTGGGTCCAGTGCCGAAAGCCACCGGGGCTTTTGCCATGGTGGTGCTATGACCTCTGCCTTTGACGACTTGTTGGGACACTTGGCCTTCTTGGCCGCCGCCACCGGGCCATGGGATGGAGCCACCGTGCAGATTAACTGCAAACTCTCCAAGCCCGTGCGTGTGGGACAGACCCTTTTGTTGGAGGGCCATGTCACCAAACAGGAAAGGCGAAAAGTCTTTGTGGAAGCCAAGTTGCTGGATGCCAATGGAGATGTGTATGGCATGATGGATGGCATCTCGATTGTAGGTGCGAAAATCCAAAGTGAAGAGTCTGAACTGGACCGCCGTCAGTGGCACTTTGACAACGAGCTTCGTGGTGTTGTGGATTCTCCAGATCATCGCCATCTTTTACAGTGATGGTTTGCATTGGCCAAATGCATTGGTCCTCAACTGACCTTGAGGAGCCAGAGGCAGCCAAAAGCGCTGCTCACGTTTGCAATGACCAGGTAAAACCTGGCCAACTTCGCAAGCGGAGCACTCCGATGACTGTAAACTATTGCCCAAAACCACCTTTTGCCAAAGACCACTCTTGGTGGATCAAAACCTGAACTGAGCCACTGTTTTGGTTGGAAGCAGTTCCGGCCTGGACTAGTCCCGACTCTTGCGAACGATGAAGCCGAACGAACTCTGATGAGTGCCAGGCAAAGGAAGCCATCAAGCTGATGCGCAGTAGCTTCTTGGCAAAAAACAGGTATACTATCAGTAAGGCACGAAGGTATCCTATCAGTAAGAACCGCTCAACTGGGGCATCTGACCTGAAGACTTCTCTCAAGCTTGTGAGGATATGTCAAGAGTCTAAGTAAGTATGTCTAAGTGTTTGGAACCCAAACATCCGGGATGACGCTCCCTTCGCGTTCTGCGGGATGACCAACAACTTTTGAGGCTTGAGCGCAGCATCAGCAGTCCTGGACCCAGAATCCACTGAGGGTCAGATATAGGAAGATAATCCACAGATGTCGGGGGTGTCTTCAAGCGGGGCTTCAATGGAAAGCACATCCACATCGACAAAACACGTTCTCAAGATTTGAAGTGAGAACCCCATTTTCTAGGATTTCTGGTCTCCCTTTCGATCATGCAGGTCAACCCAATGTTCATGTTCTGTCGTCCACAGACAGGTGTCCTGTTGTCGCGGCCCAGGTCCCCAGTGCTGTGGTGACCTCATTAAGCTCGTCGGCTCAGGAGACGGTCGTTCTTCGTCGAGACTCCTCGTCTCGTCGAGGAGTCGAGGAGTCTTTGGAGGTCTCAAGGGCCCGTTCTGGTCGTTCTGAAAACGGTGGACGTCAGGTGGAAGTCTTCCCCTTGGGTTCAGCTTCATTGGGAAGAAGACATGGGCCGCACAAAGGGGCTTTCAACTTGTCATCTTTTTGCTTTCGAGTCCAAGGGTTCGTCACGTCGTATGTCACAGTTCGTCAGTTCGTCGCACGAGAGGGTCGTGCTTGGCACCACTGGGGTGCTGTCCTCGTTCTGATGCCACGAAGCCATGGTTTCGCTGATATCGGCCACTGGGCTCCATATCGTTTGGTCGGCCAGTTGTACTGTCGAAGCTTCTTTCCTCGGCACGGCGAGGACTTGGAGGCAAATCTTGGACAGCTTGATAGACTTGACCTCAGAGTCTCTCATGTTCTATCCTTTTTGAAGCAGGACAGACATGACAAATCCAAGGCCCTGAACGACTTACTTAATCGAGTCCTTACTGATGACATAAAGATCCAAGTGTCAAGTTGCGAACATGCTTCTTTGAAGGATGAGCACCAACTGGGAGGGGTCCCACCACATCCTCAAAAGAGGGTCCATTAGGATGTGTTCTTTCTATTTAGCTTGCGCCTGACAGCCGGGCGGCCCAGGACTGGTTACATGTTGGGCCCACGCTCAGCCAGGTTTTTCAAGCTACGAACGGGGCTCCTGGCCTTACTACTCTAGGAACAAGAAGCTATGAACGGGGCTCCTGGCCTCACTACTAGGAGCAAGGACGTTACGAACGCGGCTCCGGAAGAATGTTGGACACAGGGCTCGCAAGCGTGGCTAGAGCACAGCAGGATGACAAGAGGCGACCAGAGGACAGCAGGAGGACACCAGGAAGAGAAGAGGAGGACACAGGGTTCAAAAACGTGGCTAGAGGACAGCATGAGGAAAGCAGGAGGACAGCAGGAGGAGACCAGGAGGACAAGAGGACACAGGGTTCGCGAGCGTGGCTAGAGGACAACAGCAGGTCGGACAGCTGGAGGATGAGGACAACACATGGGAAAACTGCTTGATGGTTTTGGTGTTTTTCCCTCATCACAGACCATTATTCCCGGCCTTTCCCCCAAGTCCAACAGCACACGTGGCCACAGGTCTCCACCAACGGGCCATTGACGAAGACACGGCCCTCCGGCCACTGCGTACGCTTCTACTGGCAGTACAACATGCCCTTCAGGCTGCCAGACATGGACATAGACAGGGCCCTCATGCCGCATGCCCTCAAATTGCCCTGATGTGCAAAAGGCATTCCATCATCTCAGGGGACTTTGGATATGGGAAGTGAAGGAATAAGAACCATTGAGACGGCTTTTGGTTTATCATTTTGTTGAGGCACCTTTCTCCGTGGTTTTCTTGTGGGAGCGATTTTACCGATGGAGGCGTACAGCTCAGATCCATCCCTTTCACTGAAAGCAGCCAGAGTGGAGCTACTTGGATGCAAAAACAGAGGTGCACAGTCCAAGCTCAGTTGCCAAGCTCTTTTGTGCTTTGTTGCCCTCAGGAACGGTGAGGATGAGGACGGCTGGCTGAGACCACACACGGCAGAACACCGAAACGACCACACACCAGGCAGTCACTTGGCATGGGCTATAGCCATTGGCAGGAGTCACTGGCTGTCCCACAACTTGGAGTTGGTCGTGAAAGCCGCTTGAAATCCCTGTCTGTGCCCCAAACCCATGGGCACAACAGCTCGTTGACAGCCTGAAAAAGAATCGAGGATGTCCGTGGCTCAAACAAGAAGACCTAGAGAACCTAGAGAGATATAGTTTAAGACCATGTTTGCTTTTTACCTGCTGTGGGTACCCACCGGAACTGGAATCTCACGACTGCCTGGCAGAAGATTCCAACTATGACTTGGTGGAATTTTTGAGGTTGGAGATTCTGCCGATGGGACAAATCGAAGGGGCACTGATGCAGCGGCCTCTGATTCAACATTCTGGTGATTTCACTCGGGACTGCTCTTTCGGTCAAGTAGTTTCATTTGGCAATTATGCACCTTTTCGGCAAGAGGACAAACATCGAAGCCATAATGTTGTCATCACTTGAACATTAAAACTCTTTAAGAATTACTATGAATCACTGTAGCCTCACTGGCTAGCTCATTGGCTGAATGAGGTTGCACTTGACCCAGCTGCCAGCATCGCCAACTTTGTCACCATTGGGGCCTTTTGTCAAACAGCCACAGCCTTTGCAGTCTGGCATGCTCAACAGTCCTTGATTCTACATACACACACCATCACACACCTAGTGTTCTTAGAAAAAGAAGAAAGGATCAAGGATTTGTTTCATGATCTCCAAATCTCTCCAAATCATCGGCGTTTTCCTCAACTTGTTCTGCATGCAGCAAAGGACCGCCTTTTTTTCATGCAACAAACATACCGTGTCGCATCGCATCCCAGGACCTTGCAGCTCTCGCAGGCCATTTTGTTGGGTGGGCTTGAAGCAATGCTTGCAGCTTCACAGATCACGCCCGGGCCCCACCCAGTTCGGTCGCGTCGTTGGGCGGAGGAAGGACTCGCTGCTTCTGTTCGGGCTCAGCCGAGGCTGAGCATTTTGCGGCTGGTGAGCTTCATGATGGAGAGAGCTGCTGTGCTGGCACTTCCCCAATTCAACAGGGGATGTGATCAACCTCCATCTTCATTGAACATCAAGGGTATGAGGGCTCTTCGCTCGGATGTTGTGTTGATTAGGAGAAAGGACTAAATGCAAAAGAAGAAGAGAAGGAAGGAGATGGCGAAGGTACCTGTGAATGACTGATGGCAGGTGTGTCGGGGAACTCCTTGACCAGCCACATCATTGCAAGACTATAGTTGCAGAATGATACATGATGACCAGGGCAAGGAGTGGTAGATCCAAAGTGACCATCAGGTTCAAGATATCATACTTTTGCAGGATTTCACAATGCTCGCTCCTGGCTTTCATATCTTGTGATGCAAGACTCAACTGTGTAATATCTGACCTACCATCTAGAGCCCCTTTCTGGAAGACTGAAACCTTACAGAATTCGCAGGGAATACGATTGCACATTTGGCAGTAGGTCAAGTTACAGTGGACCGATAGGCTGAAGCATTTTGGTCTGTTTACTCTATTCCGTCAAAAATCAACTCCAAACCCCACTTTGAGAGCTCCGGTCCGATCCAAAAAGCGCCCCCGCGTCATCCGCGTCATGTCTCGTTCACAGAGCTCGGTCCGTCCCGTCGTAAAGCACTTCAGGCGGTGAAACGGAGTGGGCCTCTGGCACCGGCATGGGTCAAGGCGAAGGCCTTCGAGATGTGACCGACGAGATCGAGGCCGCGGGCCGCCCAAAACACGCGCGCGCGCGCGCGCATGCGCGCATGTGGCAAGCGTGCGCTAAGGGGTCGCGTGGTACGAGTGGTGCGGTGTGACGAAGTGCCTTCCTGCAACTGATACTAGCACGGCTCGTAATTATGGTGCTCCAAACTAGTTTCAGTTGGTGCTGCAACAGCAAGACGGTGTCCTTTTCTGCGCACTTGGTTTTGTTTTGAGCCGTGTCAGGATGATGCACAACTTGAGGGAACACGCAATGAGAAGGAAGGAGAACAGTCCGTAGCTTGAAAAGTGGAGTCCTTTTTGCTCGGATTGCTGGCTGTCGTTGCGGTTGGCGAATGGCCGTCAAGGCCTGAGCCAGAGCAGCCGAAGCCTGAAGAGGCATCTCATGTCACTGATCAACGGGATGGTTCAACAAATTGTTTTAGATCTAGTAATAATATCTATTGTATAGTTAGTGTTGTTTTTTGTGCAACGTTTGCTGTGCTTTGCCTCAAGCGATACAGGACAAAGCCCGTGAAGTTGGATTTGACCTGGACACTGAAGCCAAGGCTATGCCGGAGAAAGAGGCATGAGCAATCAAGAGACAATTGAAAGGCACTTCGTTCTTTGCCAGAAGCTCCAAGAAGATCAATATACGCGACAGAGCCGCATTGTTAGCGATTCGTTCTCTTGTCAGGAAGATCAGCAGCAAGACCAAGAGAAAGATAATGAAGAAGAGCCGGCACCACAATTGTTGCGGCAGAAGTGAGATGATGTCAAGACTCGAGACAGCTCCTATCGTCTCCTTCAGAATCGAAACGACCAGTCTTCTTTTTTGGTCCCAAGGCAAGAGTTGGATCGTCAACAAGGCTGTTCACTCAGAAACCCTTTGGGAATGTGTGCAGAAACCCTCCGTTTTCCGAACGACCGGCTTCAGTGGACGGTCGATCTGAGGCGAGGTCGACCTCTCAAAAGGTGGCACATTGGACGAAAAGCTTTGGAACGGAGATGAGGAGCTCGGATGAACGGATGCGAACAGCTGGGCAACATGGCAGCACGACTTGAAGGACGACAAGGAAGATGAAGAAGATGGACTTGCTCTTAGACTTTGACATGAAACATAGTTCTTAGCATGCAATGTGCCATAATGTGTCCCTTGATCCCAAATTCCTTTTTGAGAGGTGATGCCAACAATGAAAAGGAGAAAGGCCCTCAAGAAGAAATTGAGGTGAGACAATAAGCCAGCCACTTGAGGGCCTTGCCTTGCAATAAGCCAGCCACTTGCTTTTAGACAGATCGGAGGAACATGGATAACTATGGATAGACTCCGACTGACTAAGATGGAAGTGGAAAGTCCCTGTTTGTACAGGAAAGCACTTGTCCAAAGGGACCATTTTCCACTTGCTACACTCTGGGGGGTAGGACGCTATTAGAAACAAGTGCATTGCTATTAGAATTAAAGTAATAGCTTCTTGTTACTACTAGTAAGGCACCTGTTACTACTAGCGTGGCACTTGTTAGTGAGTCAGAGTCAGAGTGTAGCGATTTGATGTTTCCAGTCCCTGGGTCCACAGACCGCGTCGGGAGTCCACGCACGACGGACCACCTGTCTGACGGTGTCGAAAGCGATGAGAACTTGCCAGGCACATGGTGCTGAAGGCCAAGGGGAGGCGGTGCATCCAGCGAGATTGCCTCCAGAAGCTCCACGGTCTTGGACGTTTCGGCGCATTTGCAAGACATCAGATTGGAAGAGCAATCCGCATGTCTCTTGGTTCAGTCAGAAGGTGAACGCTTGCGGCCTTTGATGACACTTCTGACATTTTGCATCCTTCCCAGTGAATCAAAGTGACGGCCAGGAAACCACCGCAAAAGATGGGGAAGATAGCAACTTGGCTGTAAGATGCTGTAAGACGCTGTAAGTGTATTTGATTCAAGGGCATTCCTGAAATGTTCATAGTAACTATCATAGTACTACAGCACTTGTAGCCATCGACTTGTGCGTTCACACTGTGTTGCTTGTGTTGCAGCCGCAGCAGGCTGCCCAAATGTTTTTGATGCCGTGACCTCTCAGGTAAGTCGAAGAAAGATCCCAAAAACGAGGCAAAAGATGTAGAGAAAGAAGATATTCCCGAGCAGGAGCTCCGCAACCAATCCTGCTGAAGAGTACAAGTCTTCATGCGACACAAGCAGGAGCCACAGGAGCCAGACAAGACGGACTTCGAAGACAAAGACGCACAGTTTGATGTGCAGATGCAGCCACAAGGGTGTGCTTCTCGAGACTCTAGAGATCAATCTTCAGATTTCAGTGGTTCAGTGGTTCGAAATGGCTTTGAATGCGGTCTTCTTGGTCTTGACTCTTCATCCAAAGGCATTTGTGCTTATAGGCCTTTGGCCTGGGTTCCTTGTGAATCCATGTGAGGCCTTCTGGTGCAGATGGCGAAGGCGAAGGCGAAGGCGAAGGCATGGGATGGGTAGAATGTGGTGGAAAAGGCTTATATGGCATCTCGATAAAGTTGAAGAAGCATGAACTCAACCTCTGTGGGGATTTATATTATGAATCCCCACAGAGGCTGAGAGGCAGACTTTTCGCTGCTGAAACTAGGTCCACGGCAGATTTACTCCGTGTGTCAAACCAGAGGGGTCAATGTGAACACGTTCATTTTGCATTGTTTTTTTTTTCCCGAATGCGTAGCGAAGGGTTCTCGTTTAACTCTGGGGGTCTGGGGGTAGAGTCTTGTTCGCGACCCGTTGCTTCTATGTTCGCAACCGTCCGCAACCGTTCGCAACCGTTCGCAACCGTTCGCAACCTTTCGCAACCGTTCGCAACCGTTCGCAACCGTTCGCAACCGTCCGCAACCGTCCGCAGTAGGTCGCTAAGGCGCTGCCATTGGGGGAAGCTTTTGCAAGTGACTATGCATGGATGTGTCACGTGTTAGTTTGCGACGCGAGTCCATTGTGATTTGCGTGAAAAGGACATGTCGCGCAAGAAGCGTGATGCATTTCACTGCACAGGCGCAGCGTTTTGTGAGATCCGCAGTTTGCTACGCAGTTCCATTGGGATTAGCGTTTGGAGAGTCGTGTTTTTGGGGTGTTGGATGTGGCCGTGCCATTGGGATTTGCGTTTCAGGGTGTGGCATCGAAGCTCTGTTTTCGTGACAAGTCTCAGCTGAAATGCCGATTTTGGTGGACGGGAGTGTGCTCAGAACGGGTCGAAATCATTCCAAACGTGTGGTGTGGTGCAAATTTTGTTGAAGCTCACATGAGATGACATGGTTACTTTTCGTGGCAGGCGCAGGACTTTGTGCGGGTTTTGAGGTGTGGAAGTGGGATTTTCGTGGCAGGCGCAGGGAATCGCGAGGTTGCGATGTGTGACGGAGGTGACATTTCGTGGCAGGCGCAGTACTTTGTGCGCGTTAGACGTGTGGACGCGGAAAGATTCGTGGCAGGCGCAGGGAATCGGGAGGTTGTGAGTTGTGGTAGAGGTGAATGTCGCTGTCACATTGGGATTGGCGTGTGAGCGGGTGTCGTTTGGAGGGGCTGGAATCGCGAAACTGCTTGGCAGGGCTGCGTGATGTGTGTGCTCCGATGGGTGTTTCCGCTGGACTTTTGGAGGAAGTCTCGTGCGAAACGTTCGTTTTGGCTTTTGGAACGTGTTTGCATTCGGGTTCGTGGGCTCCATCTTGTTTTTTTCGCAAGACAAAGTTTGTGGTAGAAGATGTTAGAAGCTTTTTCCTTTTTTCGTGATTCCGTTGGTTTTACCATGCGCTCTCGTTTCCAATGCATTTCACTCCAGGAAACACTTTTACAAAGCCAGGAACTCGGGTGACAACACTTGAATCTCTTACTTTCAGCATGATGCCCCCTGCCCGAGAACAAAACACACACAAATCTTTCAACCTAAGGGAAAGATCCGAGAAACCAAGAGGGGAAGATAGCACAGCTAAAGAGCGAGTTTTACAACTACAGGGAGGTTCCTTTTCCAAACTTTCAAACACATGCTGTTTGTCTTCATTCACCGACAAAATTGCAAAGACAAACGCTAGTACTATTACCCCCACATGCACCCCACCCAACCCCCCCAACAGTGTGGGGCCTGTGGGGTGAGATGCCCCCGACAGTGGCAGGCTTGCTACTGACCGAAACGACAAAATACCATTGTGTGCCAAGTCATGGGTGTCAACGAGCGAACGGCGGTGAGCTCGTTTTTTCATACCGCGAGTGGCTTCGGAGTATCTTTTTTCTTAGGCCTCCAGGTGCTTTCTTAGAAAGCGTACCAAGCTGAAAGCGTACCGGTCTCATCACCCCAAACCGCGGTCTCCGGGACCCGGTCGTGTGGGACACGACGCCGAGTGAGTCTTCACCTTCGCTGTTTGGAGGTCAAGGCGAAGGGGAGGGCGAACAAGGTGATGCTGACTCTGACTTTATCAAGGCACAGAAGGACTCTGATCTCACTCAACTGGCTGTCCTTGAAGAACTTGGGTGTGTCAGTCGGACATCGAGATGGAGGGAGAGGGTGGTGAAGATGATGAAGACGAAGGATCTGAAGGCAAATGTGAAGAGGCCGGTCAAATGCCTGCACATCCTTCTTGATGATTCTTTACAATAGATTCTCTTTTGGGATGAAAATCATCATTTGTACTTACTGTAAATCTGAATGGATAGATTGCAGGGGGAACATTTCATTGGTGGCGGCACATGTCTTCGTGATTCCTCATCTTTGGGAATCAACTTCTGTCTAGGAAGTGGGTGATCTTGATGCAGCTGAGCCTGGTGCCGTGAACCCAGCGAGGCTGTTGGACACCGTCCAATTGGGTGCCTAGTACACACCCTTGACAGCTGGCCGAGTCTTCCTGGCCGTGGTAGGTTGATCTTCCCTTTTGGGTCTTCCACAGACATGACTATCCAAGACCCGTTACCCGGCCTGGCAGCCAGGTAACAGAAGTTGGGGAACCATGTTGAAAAGAACCAGGGTCCATTCAATTTTGACCACTGTTGCACCAGACAGCATCTCCAGTCGGTGTGCAGGAAATCATTGGAGAGCTTCCTTCCTTCTTCCGCCCATTCCACCTTCCAGTTTTAGGCCCTTGCTACTAGTAACTTCTTGTTACTAGTAGTAATGCCCTTGTTACTAGTAGCGATGCACTTGTTACTAGTAGCTACTTGCTTTCACCTGAGGTCCCGCAAGAAAAGTTGGAGGATGGGCCCGATGCGCCCAAGTCCCAGCTTTCATCGCCCAGACTTTCTGGGAGGGGGGTTGTATTTCTGGACCCATCTGGGCCAGTCATTCTTGCCGACATTTGAGGCTGGAGCAGGATGGAATGGAGCCTTGCGTTTCAGACCCAGCAGAGGAGTCCATTGAATATCGGTATCGTAGTGCGCTTCCTTTCTGGATGCAGCTGCATTCGTTGGAATGAACGAGCTTAGGTTCAAGGAGAGGACAAGCCACAAGAAGAACAGGCAGGCACGGCACAATGGATTCATGCCATGCAGCTGCCATTCTTTTGGTCAAGTGCTTGAGTGCTGATGACATGCTTGCAAGTTACTTGGCTGTGGCCGCATGCGCGCCAAAACAGTCAAGCAGAAATGTAGAACATGTTGACCTTTCTTTCAGGTCCTTGATGAGTATATAGTACGAATTGACACAGAAAAGACACTGAAATTGGGTATCCAGTTGTTGACTTGAGATATTTGAATGTGCAGCTTCCTTTCCCCACAGCTTTGGACAATTAAGGTTTGAGTATCGGAGAATGGAGGGATCGGGAGGGGTCGGGAGGGATTGGGAGGGATTGGGATCATGAAGTCATGAGACGTCATGAGGGTAAGCTGGCTTAGGATCATGGAGGTGATCCATCATGTTATCTTAACCCAGCTTACTTGAAAAAGGTTCATGGAAATGCTGCAAGACTAGCGAAGAGCAGAGGACGACAACGCCGAGAACAAGGACGTCGATCCTTCGAAAGCGTCCGAGTCCAAGAGTGTGCGAGGACGGTCTGCGTCACGTCGAACGGGTCCGATCGGGTCCGATCGCGGCGAGGCAAACGACCGACGGGTCGAAGCCTCCAGAGCCGTGCCGGTCCAAGTGAGTTGAGGGCATCACATCTACGTAAGCTCTACGCATTTGGTGGGGAGGCTGCAGCAAGGAGATCCGGGCACGCCATCTGCTGGGAAGGCTGGATGAAGATAAAGATAAAAGAACACAGTAAGCTGTGAAATGCTGTGAAGAAGCATTCCTACAGTTGAATCTATTCTATTTTAGTTGAATTTGAGAACCATCGCATTTACTGAGTAAGTCAGGATACCACAGCTCCGCAGCAACGGCAGCAGGAGCTTGGTGAGTGAGCGAGCGAAGACCCTTTGCCCCTGCACACTGATATTTTTGGACAACAGCGCCTGGTTGGACATTCTTTTCAATGAAGGACGAGCAAATGTTCGGAGGTAGCACAGGGGAATCTGCAAACTTTCAGCTTGGAGCTCGGTGACAGAAGCAAGAAAGAGCCTATGACGGCCTACGACCCTACATTTCGCCGTCCCTTAGTTCCAGTTTGTGCATCAGTGCTGCAAAGATCTACAAAGGTGCTTGGAATGACTTCAATAGGCAAACGTACAGCACTAGGGAGGCCTGTATCCAAAACATGTTTGCTATTTGCTTTTGCAGCCATTTGTTCGCATGTTGGCAAGGTCGCAAGCTCAGCAAGATGCCCAAGATGCATCAGCTGGAGATGAAAGAGGAGGTCAGAGACCAGGGACACATGACGCAACCTGGCTCTGTGAAATTCCTACCCACCCACATTGCAGTTCTGCAGCGTATGTGCAGCTGAGTGTTTCAGAAACAATCGAGGTCACGTGGCGTAAGCACCCTACAGCTGCTGATGGTGTCATCCATGATGGAGTTATCATGAGCTACCTATTACTGTATATTATATGAAAGTGTTTTGCTTGCATGCTCGAACTGACCATATTGCAGACTCATCACTTTACCCACATTGTCACATAGACCCCCCAGTGCCAACCGTGTTTGTAGATGCCTTTGCAATTGACCGGTTCTGCAAGCTCTGTATCAGAGGACCCTCTGTTCATAGCGCAACTGCACAAAGCTAGCTTGACCCAGTGTCAGGCTCCACTGCGACTGCAACTGATTCGCGTGGAGATCGAACTGAAGTACCATCAGCCGCTTAAAAGTGTCAGCTCTGTTTTTCGTCGGACGGCGAGTTGTTTTTTTACCCGATGAGTCGAGTCTTTTTGTGGCAGAAACTCGACTTGAAAAAAAAACACCAACACGGTTTTGGCCTTTGAAATGAACTGCGTTGAGTTCACACGAGTCCCATCACTCGCAGAAAAAAGAACAAATGTCTTCTCTTGATGTGGAACACATCCTGTGGGAGACGTACTTTGTTTGGGATGGTCTGATGAGTTTGTAGACTCTGTTCGGCACTTTCCCGACTGTATCCTTGGAGCAAGGCCAAGCCTCAAAAGTCAGCAGCAGACAAGACGTCATCCCGGCTTTTCTTCAAACTCTGTTTTTCTTCACAGCGAAGCAAATGGCTGAAGCACATGTGCCAGGCAGGCTCCATCAAGGCCCAGTCCGGCAGAGGGAGAAGGCAGTGAGGAGAAGGGTTGCAGCTCTGGGTAGAAAGCACTGATTGAAATTTCCTTTGCAGAAGGTTGAGACACGGCAGTCGATGTCACACATATTATCATTAATGGTCTGAGTCAATGTGGATATCGACAGTGTAATTACAGTTTCTGAACCGCTTAGCTTGCTGGACTTGGCCAAGGTTGAGTTTATCATAGTTTATCAAAGATAGTGCAACCAAAGCTAGCATCAGCAGGGGCTGGCACTACAAACAGCAGTCGACAAGCTTCCGCATCCAAAAGTTGGTGGGCAGCCACAATTTACTCTGTAGTTGTATCCACAAGCCGCAAGTATCGCTGTAGTCTGCCTGCTGGCCTGCTGGAGGAACAGCACAGCTAGCTGTCTGCAAGTGGATGATCAGTGCCCTTTATGTTTGTACACCTTCTCGCTAGTGACGTTTGCTTTTCCAGGACCGTCAAAACGTGAAAGGAAGCGAAAGTGGAACCAGCTAGCGCAGATCTGCACCATCTCCCCGCGTCAATTCCCATGGACCATCTCTCCACGAAAACGCCGGAGAAAAGGATCCATGTGCTGGGGCTGACGATCTGCCACAAGCGACATGCAAGACATTCAAGCATTTCATCCCTCAATGACCTTTTGAAGCAGCCTGCCTGCTGTTCTTCAGGTTTGAAGGCCGTCTCTGAGAAAGTGGGTGCCACCAAGTTCTACTTGCTGAGTCGACCTTCGGGTCGTTTTTTGACCCTTTCGTGACAGATTCGTGTCCTCCAACATACCCTTTTCTTGCGAAAGATCTATCGAAGGTTCCCCTTCCAGCATCTGCCAACAATGGACATGCTTCCCATGGGTGAGCCGTGCTTGCCAAACTTCCAGCCAATGCACTACACGCAGTATGTTGGGTTGTCCATGTTTTGTCCCTTCAAAGAATCTGACCGGAATGCATTCGCACAGTTTTCACTATGTTATGGTGGCAGTCCTCTCAACCATATTCTTTGGTGCCGCCCTAGTGTTTCTTAATCCGTTCTCAATCCTTCAAGAACAGCACTGCTTCAAGTCTTTTCCCAGCATTGGGCAACAAGCGAACAGTAGATCCAAGCATGCTGCACATTCCGATGGAAGCACGAAACATCGGGCAGGCCGCTGCAGGCCTTGAGGACTATGAAACACATCTCCGCGGAGTCCCTAGCAGGTTCATTGGCCTTGCAGACCATCTGGCCATCTGGCGACTCAACAGCGAGCCTTGCCTGGAGCTCATGCTAGCTCAGCAGTTTCCTCAAGGATCAACACGCAGAGTGGTTGGTAAGAAGGGATTTGGGTGGACGATACCAGTACAATCCTTGGTACAGATACATTTATTACTTATAACTACATTTATACAAGTACATACTATTAATGAATATGGGCGTATGCGGACCAATCTTCCATGACTTCCGTGCTGCCCAATCCCAGATCGCAGGAGCGCCGCTTGCAGAAGCTTGACATTTTGCGCGAAGCAGATGGTGGGGATGACGCAGCTCGGCCCAGAGCTGTCCTGCGACAAGTTGAATCCATTGCTGGGGGCCACCGCAATCAAGGCAATGGGCCAGCAGCAAGAAGCTGGTGCTGAGCCAGTGCCTGAGGTGTTTGCAAGAACCCGGAAGGTCCGGTAAAGCCAAAAGTGCACTAGCAGTGTGGTAGTTGAAAGTTGAAACATGTTGAAGCTGGCTTCACCAGTGTGACCGAAAGGTGATTCCAAGTCGGATGGGTTCGACATTTGTCACCCACCATTGGTCACCCGGTTCAGGCAAGGGCTGCACTTGGCAGACCCCAAAAGTGGCCTGGAAGCGCTGGGTGAGACGAAGGAGAATGCGGAGACCTCAGATCGCCTGGACCGTGAGTCCGGCAGATCCCGCGTCAGCTGTTCTGCTGCATGGGTTTTGCGGGATCTGTCAGCACACATCATGGATGCAAAAACCATCCAGATCGATCAACTCACAGCAGATCTGAAAATGGATCCAAACACTGGCGAGGCTGGCGTTGATCAAAAAGCCATGGGAATCACAGAGCAGGATGGTGAGGCCGTGGCCTCACCTCTCTGCCGAAGATGGTGGCACTCCCGGGCTTTGTCCCTTTTGTATATTACAAAAACACATATTTTTTCAATGAGACCTGCATTTCGTAGGCTGAAGAAGAGAATGAGGCAATGGCCATGGATGAGGAGCAACCAGGCAAAGTGTAAGTTTCAGGTCATAGAGTAATCTGAGACGAACACCATGTTTGATTGGAGCAGGGAGTGAGTACTCATACGCAGCAGATCAGTCGCAGCAGACCCGGTCAGGAAAGCAGGAACAGAAGCTGTAGGGTTGCCCAGTTTGTGAAAAAGGTTAGCCATTGAGGCCAGCGGCAACGTCAGAACCATCTAAGGATGTTCAATCATGTTCAGTCGATTTCAGGCCAAGCATGCACCTGCAGGACAGTCGCGACCGTCACCGCTGTCGATTGCAAAACTGGCAGACGATTCAAAAATCAATGCCGCTTGATTGGCATTTTGAGGAGACCAAGGAAGGTGAACTTCCAGATGATCAAGGCTGGACTGTGAAAGCAGGGCGTTCAGCTCTGTGCCGATGCCCTGCGAGTGCCGAGTTCGGCTTCGCCAGGCAGGCTGTCACAGGCACCTCCTCAGGAAACTGAGGAGAAAATGCAGCTGGAGGAGAGGAAATCATGTATATAATCTTTAGATTCTTTAGATTCCATAGAACTAGGTCGCTATTGGGTTGGAGGCCCATCGCTACTAGGTTGGAGGGGGCCATTGCTATTAGGAATTAGGGATCATCTCCACTGAAGTAGCTGTGGCATCGAGGGACCCCGTGGCGGCACCAACGTGTCCAACGTGTCGGCGACCCTCGGGGACTCTCGACACCAGGCGAGGCCATCGGCCGAAAACGACCACGGGGCGGTGCGGCGTCGAACGACGGAGGCGATGGAGGTGGATGCGGAGGGCGAAGCTGAGGATGAGGTCGTATGGAAGAAGAGGCACGCTTTTGTTCTTCAAAACTTTTCCTTACTTAATTAAAATAAATGTTTTGGATTGTTTTGGTATCGTATCTATTCTTGACTGCGAGTCTGAAAGAGAAGCACTGTATACTTGTACCTCTAGGGATCCAGTCCACTCATTTTACAGTGTTGCAAAAACGCCATGGGAAGCAGTGTTTTCAGTGGGAAGCGCCACGGGGTAAAGGGACACGTATCCATTTGGGCCGGACTCGCAGTCTAGCCGGTCTGTGGGACGACTCTCGCACGAGGTCAGAGCACGAGGCCATGCAGCTTTGGGGAGAGCTTCGATCTTGGAGTGCTATACATGGAGGACATGTCTGAAGGATTTTCTGGATCTTGGAACTTGCAGTTGCTTTAACTTGACCGGACAATTGTGACCATATGAACATGTGTTATTTTCATTATTTTCATACACTCAAAGACTCAAACCTGCATGTTTTCCACCCGACATTGACATGAACGAGTTGTTCTACCACATCATGAATGAGGCTTGAAAGGAGCACATCGCCTCTAGCTGCCGCCCTCTGCGAACAGCTTCGCACGATCTTGGAGCCGACCTTGAAAGGCCGACGAAGCGCCGAGAAACGTTTTTTGAGCGACAAAAAAGGTTCCAAGTTGTGAAAGGTTGGTTGGTTATGGCTGGATATGGTCGCTTTGTGATAGTTTGTTGATAATTTGTTGGGTCTTCCTTAAAAGGTCCAACATTCTCAACTTGATTCAACCTGTAAGTCCGCCATTTTTTGCCTCCCCCAAAATGGGTCACTTCAGTCCAGTCTTCGACACCAGTTCCGTGATGTTCGGTGGTGTTCGGAACGGCTCGAGCCGTCGCTTCACGCCCGTCACGCCAGGTCGGCTCCAGGGATACTTCCGAACCGGGAAGCGAATCTCGATGAGAAGAGTTCGGGCTCCCGATGAGAAGAGTTTGGCTGCATAGAGTTGGATGCTCCAAAGAGCTGTTGGATGCGGTGCCGAAGATGGAACCAATAAAAAACAACAGCCGCTTTCAATGGAGACTTGGCAGTAGTTCCTCAATTTCAGTGTTTTGAATTTCGAGAACTTTCCAGAACCGAAATCAAGCGGCTTGTTTACTATATTTCATATCTCGACATGTTTGTGGGAATGGAAGATAATGGAAGGTTCTCCAGAGGTTATTTGTTTGTGGCTGCCTTCAAGGGAATAGCTGCATCCAGGTGATCCCCTTCATTGCCTCCAATTATCGGAGAGACAAGATATGGCTTCGTCGTACGAAGCCTTCCAAGCGAGAGTACCAGGCCTGGCTTCTGCGAGAGTACCGAGCGTGACTTAAAATATATGAAGGTTCGATGGGTTTTTTCTATGATTTTCTCCGATTCGATGGGATGTCCCCCTCTTTTGGAGAGGCTCAATTTGGATGGAAACTATAATATATACTATATTGCAAGCCTGGCAACATGAGGGGAGATCCTTTGGGCGTTTCTTCTGTCTGACAGATTGTCGTGGCCATCGACAATTCACGCAGCATGCCTTCTTCTCAGGACTTTGATAAGGCTGCTAAGGTCTTTGATTCCAGGAGTCTCCCCAAACAAGCACTTCTGCTCTGAGCCAGAGCTTGGTCTCAGGAAAGAATGCAGTGTCGGACCAATCGCACTACAAACTCTTTGTGTCTTATGTCAGGCCGGATGGGGCTTCAGTGGCAATTCATCATGGACAGGTTTTCCCTCTGCTTTTTCCAAAGGGCATTTCTTTCCATCTCTTTTCTAAAGCTAAAGACCAGAGAAACAAATTGGCCCTTGGCCCTTGGCCTGTCAGTTGGTATGGTTGAATGACGTTGTTGTTGTGGTGCAGGCCCTTGCCCAGTTGGAGGTTGGAGAATATGCAGTCCTTGCTTTCGGGAGTGCCAGGGACCCGTGCAATCAAGCAATTTCCCTCCTCATTGCCGTTTTTAAAAACCCGCTCCCACTCCTAGTAGCGATGGCCTCCACCCTATAATAGTAGCTTCTTGTTACTATATAGTAACAAGATTCTAAGAAGCTACTAGGTGGAGGTCATTGCTATTAGAGGAAGTTAATCTAAGTTGCTGAGATAAACAGAACAACAGAATCACAAGATAGCATTTAGCATGTAAGAAATCAAATAGGCATCCCATTTCGCATTCAATTGTAGTGACGAACAGGTCAACTGCCCAAACGTTTGCCACCGGTGGATTGTTCAGAGACCTAAATGATGATGATCTAAATGTTTGCCTTTGCAATCAGTTTGATTCGTTTTGTACAACCATGAACTTGATGCGTGCTCATGGATGGCAAAAAACACCAACAATCACTCTATATTCTGCCCTGAAATTCAGATCCCTGTTCTTCCACCTCCTCACAGCACTGGAGGATTTGCGCTCCTAAACGGGCCGTCCGAAACAAAGACTTGGACCGAAAGAGGACACACTGTCTGAGGCATCTCCTCGGGTTCTCCTTCCACTGGGTTCTGGGTGAAAGTCTCAGCGGAGGCTTCCATCGAGTTTTGGGCATCGAGCGACTAAACTGTTTGCTGAGGCAACCCCACGCCAACAGTTTCAACTGGACACAAGCAGGACCACTTCTTCGAGAGTGCGCCCACACAGCTTTGGTATGCTTTGGTCAATTCTTGAAGTCCTCAAGAACAGTTGATCTCAGACAGTGGTGTATGCAATTGTATGCAGTGTTCTCATTTCGAACAGGTTCACCTTCGAAGAGGAATCTGTGCAGCCACATCCCAAGTGGGCTCAGCTTTTCTGCTGATTAGACTAGATGTGGACCTTGCAGAGGAAAGACAGCTGCTCAGAAACGATGGCTCAAAAAAGACAACATATTATGAAAGCATGAACCTAGGAGCCATGATCGAAGCTTGGCAGATATGATGCGGCTCAGTTCCGAACTGTTCGATGAGCCCGGAAGCCCTGCGTTTCCAGACGACAGACCGGATGGACCTCATTGCTTCAGCCGGTGGGGAAGTTGAGACGTTGGACGTTGGATGTTTCGGGTGGTTTCAACGAACGGTCCAACGAACTCGCGGTCCTCCTTTCGTTTTCCAGGCGAAGTGGTCCAAGCCCAGCGCGACCCTTCAGACTTCAACTCAGTTGCTCTCAGACCGACGAGGGTTCGGCCGAAACGAGAAGGAATCAGCTCTGAGGCCAGATGAGCATCATCATTTCAGATGGCCGCTTCAATAAGAACAAAGTCAGACCATGGGCTGGAAGCTGAAGATGTTTCTTTGTGTTCGAGCATCTGAATGCTTTGCTTGCCAATGACTGCCAGGTTCATTCAGCATTGGCACGGCAGCAACTTCCTCTTCTGATCATAGTTGACGCTGAGTTTGTGGGACGCCTAGATTTGTGAATAATTCTTATTTTTCGAAAGCACCATGCGTATGTGGAAGGGGCTCAGCCAGGGTTGCACCCCTGAGTTTAACGTTTTGCAGGAAGGGGCTCAGCCAGCTGTGCAACGCTTAGCCTGTGAAGATCCAATGGCTTTGTGTGACATTTGACACGTGGCTTAGCCAGGGAAGCACTGCGAAACGGAGTGTCTTTGACCTCCGAGCAGTCACTTACGAATCGGGTCGATGCCAGGCGAGATTCCCCTGGAAGACGAACATGCCTTCCCTGGAAGACGATGTTCCTCTAAAACAAGGGTTTGTTCCATGTCCACGTGTGTTAGGCATGTACCTATAGAAATCTAAAGAAGCACAAAGGGGGAGACGAACGTCATTCTAGCCATCGTGCACGAACGTGCACGTTCGCGTGCAGGTTGTACCATACTTGCAGGACTTCCCATTTCCGTATTATGTCGTGGTTCAGGACCGAGAGTTCACTTTAGACAAGTCAATGAGCGTCAGCTGACCGACATTCTTTGCAGGATTTGCAGAGTCTTCCAGCAATCTTGAGCGATGTGATGAAGCAATGGCCAGCACCTGAAAATCAGGAATTTGGGTTGAGCATTCCATACATCTTTGACACACACAACCCCCAAGATACGACTCGTTGATATGTCAAAACCACATGTTTTGGAGTGCATCCTGTCGCTGTCGCTGTCCAGTCGAGGTTCGAACTCGCAACGAGTGCCTGAGTTCTCACCGGTATCCGTGTACCTCCTCGCGGAGAACTTGAAGGTTCAAGGGATATGAACTCCTCGGAAATCCGATTTCGTTTGGATTTCCCACAAGAGTCGCAGAGAGAGAGGCATTGCCTCCAAGCTGAAAGCAGAATGTGCAGCTTCAAAGCCTGGCTTAGAAGTTCCGGATGCGCGATCCAAAAACTTCGAGCGTTGCAAATGAATCACCACTCCTGGCAGACGTGGATCGAAGAAACTGAGGGCTTCAGAAAGACAGGTTATTATTCTCGTCAGGAGAAGAGGCAAACAGCTTTCTGTTTTCTACCATTTGGGAAGCCTACATCTACACAGGGGCCACCTGCACACTCGACCCTACACGGAGTGATCTACGCATGCCAAAGCTGCTAGTTGTACAGGCAAGCCGCGCACAAACCAAAGCGTGCTCTGTGCTGGCAAAGAGTGGGCAGAGGAGACAAAGACGCTGCAGATGCGAGGTGAACAGAACAACAGACGTAAGTCGGATCCTCTCTGTTGAGTGCAGATTGATGTTGATAGAGCATTGGACACCCTCTTGCTAATTTTGTGGAGACAACGGCTCAAGGAAGGCCAGAGGCCTTGACGACGGGACATACCGGCACACAGGTTCATGAAGTTGATACTGGAGACAAAAACAGACTGTTTGGCCTTCGCAATGTTTTTTGGGGTCAAATACCGAAGATGCGCTCCAAATCAATATAGCTTCACCACGCCTGGACTGACTGTAGTAAATTGAGTTTGTCTTTCCTTTTGGTCCGCTGGGATGATTGATGGGGGCGACAGCGAGCAAGCTTCATTGACGCGCAGACCTCAACAATGTATGGTGATAGTGTGCAGGAAACAAACTCCAGGCATGATAGGAATGGTTGAGCCTTTACTTGGGGCATCTTGTGCCTTAAGGCCCTTGCTGCGTAGAGTCATCCCAAGTCTTTACTGCTGAAGCAACAAGTTTAGCCGGTGACCATGGTTGAGCATGTTGTAGACTTCAACTTTGGCAAGTTCTATCTTGATCAGTGCGGTTCCTCCGCCAAAACACATATAGATTTAGAGAAGCAGGCTTCCATGTCCTGTTGTGTTGTTGTGGTCGTCCTCGTTGTCGTAAAAGAAAGCACTTGTCCTAAATCCTGCATGCTGATTATGCAATTTTAGATTCTTGGCTAGTAAGGCAAGCGGTGCAACTGCTGATCGTACCTCTTGTTGCACGTAGGATCTTTTTGTCAGAAATTCAAATTAAACTTGGAAGTTCTTTCTTGATGTTTTACCAGGTGCTGTTTGAAACAAGATACATCAGGAATCATCAGGAGCTGTGTCAATCGTTTGGCCTATAATCTATATATGCTGTAATCGTAATTTTTGCCTCCAACGATGCACCACTTACTTGATTGGGACTACATGGCACTACACACAACAATCGGAGGGAACTTTGATCCTACGCAGAACAGGAGCTACTGTAATCTTTGACACCAGATGACACCAGGCCATCTATCAGGCAGACGTGTCAGGTAGGTTTTGACTTACAGTAAGGTCTGTTCATGCATGGTGGAACCTTCAAAATCTCTACTGGAAGATTCAAGTTGGAGGATTAGACAGCCTCAATTTTGGCCCAGGGAAGGCTCAGTGGCTGCAACTCCAGATGTTCAGAATGTGCAGCACTCAGTGCCACTTTGATTTCCATAGGAGATTCTACTAGTGGGCCTTGAGTGTTGTGCCAGGCAAGTCTCATTTAAGCCTGTCCACATCAGCAACGAGTCTCCAAAACGACCCCCTCAGTTCTACGCGTGGGACTGTCGCCGTTCCCGTTCGGTGCGAGACGCCTACCCGAGGCCAATTCCGTGGTGCCCGCCTCGAGCCGGGCCGGCAGAGCATCCGTGAAACGGCCGAAGCCGCCGGACTCCGGTCTATTGATGTCAGGAGTGTGAGGGAGACTATAAAATGACGAGTATGTTTCTTGCTGTAAGATTGAATTACATGGATGTCCACAAGAATAGAAAACCATATACAAAACCTTGCTTTGTGGGAAATCCATTCCTGTAGAATGGACCTGAGGCCCTTCAGTCAACAACTCGGCCAAAGCATGGCGCAGAAAGACGAGATCCAGTCAGTCTGAGAATACTTTTGGCAGTTTCGACCCACTTGCCGCTTGAACGTTTTGGCTTTACCGATGCCGTGCGACTGTCTGCACGCTCCAAGGTCGGACTGTCCGCACGAAGTATCTCGAGTGTTGACTCCCCGTCAGAGGCTCAAATGATGCGACCAGTCAGTTCAGGAAGTGGTCATTATGTGAACTAGCGAGTAAATGAAGCTCGGTTAGGGCCTTAAAGCCTTTCCTTCTTGCTTCCCTTGTTCCTGCTCTTGTGCCTGCTTCTTGTTGTTGTGAAGCTGAGTGAGCAGCTGGTCCTTCCTTGCGATTGCTCAGTGTTCGTGGCATCAATATGCCCAAATTGTGGACACGCTAAGGTTGCAGCCACCGAGCATGGACGGCGCGGCGTAGTGTGATTTGCATTGACCGTGGTTCAAGTGGAAGGTTTAAGTTTAATCAAAACAAAACTTTTTCCGATCACAAAAAACAGTTCATCACTACAGTTCATGTCTTAGAGCGGTCGAAGAATACTTGCGAACGGCCCAGCAAAACGCTTTGGACCCAACGATTTGTCAGGCAAGAAGCAGGCCAAGCCTTTGACATCCTCTCCGCAACCACGGTAGGGCTGCTCGAGATTCGGTGTGTTGGACATGTTGAGTCAAGTTTGTTAGTTGTAGGAGAGCCGTTAGTATCTATTTTTCCCCACCTGCCAGGTGAGGGTTGTTAGATTTTATCACAGTTGTTCTTCCTCCGCCTCCGCCGCCTCCTCGTCCTCCTCCTTCCTCCTTCCTCCTTGCTTCCTTCCTCGCCAATCTTCATCGCCAATCTGCTTCGCCGATCTTGTCTGGCCAGCTCCGGATCGCAGTGTGCACCCCTGGACCTCAACCGCAAGGATCCGATCGCAGTGTGCACCCCTGGACCTCAACCGCGAGGATCCGATCGCAGTGTGCATCCCTGGACCTCAACCTCAAGGATCCGATCGCAGTGTGCACGCCTGGACCTCAACCGCAAGGATCCGATCGCAGTGTGCACCACTGGACCTCAACCGCAAGGATCCGATCGCAGTGTGCACCACTGGACCTCAACCGCAAGGATCCGATCGCAGTGTGCACCCCTGGACCTCAACCGCAAGGATCCGATCGCAGTGTGCACCGCTGGACCTCAACC